CTCGCTCGCTCGCTCACTCTCTCACACACACACACAGTGATCCGTCTCTCTCGGCATTTCATCATTGCCACCCACTTGTTAACTGCCTGATTTGCAGCTGCAGCCTTGACATGCCTTGTTCAAATAACTGCCAGCCTGCATCGGCCTTCCTTTAGGTATGCAAATAGCATGCTTAATGTCGCCAATGTTGCTTCCTCACCTACAGTATATGGTATGTGTCCTCACCGTGAGAAGAATCCTCCAATCCCATCTGGTCTAAGAGATGTCATCATCCTCCACACCCTCTTCGCTCATGTCCCATATACAATGCTGGGTGACCTCCAATCCCAACCGTAGTTGCACTTCTCTCTTTCTAGCTGGGGAATGAACGAATAGAAAAGCCAGAGGTGGAAAACAGACCACAACATGAACTGCCTGCCGTGAAGGGTACTGAAATGTTATCACTTCCGGGGAGTGCAGTGTCAGATCAGATCTTGCGATAGCTCAATCAGTATTCTTTCCTTGGATGCACCCCATGATCACCTGTCTGCAGTACCACAAGCATGAGCTGGAGAAACGCTTGGCTCCCTGCCACTACCTTCTTCTTGCGAATACTTCCGAATAGAACGTACGACCATTGTGACTGTACTTTGGGCAACTTCAACCCCCAAACCCTAATTTCAGTTTTCGACCTGTTACTCAGGAGCTGAAAGTGGGGGTCCCCGTCAACCACTTGCATACGTTCTATTTGGGGGAAGATGGTAGACGATGACCCCGCTGATGCTCAGTTGGCATGTGATGAGCATTGCCTGTATGGTGAGCATTATGCGGGTATGGTCTGTACAAGTCCTTGTGTCCATGCTTTCTGCGACAGCCCCCTGTGCACTCGTCAACGCCATCCACTTATTGCGTGTCCTCTCAGTCTAGATAGAGCGATAACGGCCATACCTTCTCTTCGGGGGAAGATGGTAGGCGACGACCCTGCTGATGTTCAGTTGGCATGTGATCAGCATTTCCCATGGTGAGCATTATGCGGGCATGGTCTGTACAGTGTACAAGCCTTTGTGTCCATGCTTTCTGTGACAGTCTCCTGTGCGCTATTCCAACTCATCCACTTATGCCGTGTCCGCTCCGTAGAGTAGGGCTGAACTTGCAGTGCCTATCTAACTATGGTTGCCACACCTCTATGCACTACCATCTTCCCCCGATTAAATGTACGGTCATTATAGCCGTATTTGGATCACCTTTAAGTCCAGATGCAGCAGATATGACCATACGTTCCATTCGGGAGAAGAAGGTAGCATGTTTAGGAGCTATGTCGTCTGTGAGATATGTCTATGTCAGACTGTCACTCGTTCAGAACCCGTGACAGGCCACTTTTGTGCGCGATCCGACCCGTCAGCAACCACTGCCCCCCTCGTGCCAGCCTGCTGTGGCATTGAGGATTGACCATCTTATTGAATTCTCCCCCACCTTTTCCTCTCCTCTCTCCTCTCTCCTCTCTTCTTTCTTCCTTCTTCCTCGTTCCTTCGTTTCTCCCCTTCTTCTGCTTTCTTATCTCCCCTCCTGTTCCGTGTGCAGACCTGCTAAAGGCAAACAAATTGATGATCGCTAAGAGAACAGACAAAATCCAGTGTGGAGGTGTGCCGACCCGTAAGGCAGACGGGCATGCAGGCACCTGACACTTGACTACACACATATGGCGAGCCTTGCGCTGCTACTCCCATTTGCAGAAAAATAAAAATGCCCTGCCATTCACTGAAAAGAATATCACAATCAGTTCAAGATATTCAAATGGGAAGAGTTTTCAATTACGATTCCTATCTATCTGGGTGAAAAGGGGTTGACGTGGTAATTGTAACATGTAACCCTTTTTTACCATAACAACCCCTTTTCACCCATAATTACACTTTCTATGCACCTAGGTGAAAAGGGGCTGTAGCCACATAAGTAAGACAGCCGTGACAGCTTTTTTTTTGCCTCCACAGGATTCCCTTAGATTTCCCACACACTGTGAGTGTGTGAGTCCTCCCCCCCGACGCCACGGGAATCGAGTGGGACATCAGCGGGCCCAAGGCAGGTGGCACACAATGATCGCTTCTGGGTCCAGTGTAATAGTGTAACGTTTTTGGAGTTATCTGCAACTTATCCCACCTTTTTTTTTTTTTTTTCCCCCTTCATCTCTTTGTACATAACCCATGGTCATGTTGGCATGATTCTTACCTACAATGGATTGGAATGATAGAAATAAATTCTGTATTCAAAGACTCCATGGGATCAACTCCGAACGAAGGGCCAAGAGGACCACAGTACATGGGAAACGACAGCAGAGAATCGGACAAGAATAGCGGAAAGGACAGCACTAGCTTCTTCATAAAACAATTGCAATCAGGCAAGATTACCTCTTCATAAAGCAGGTAAGAGTAAAACAACAGCCTCAGCCCTTTCCCGAAAAGAATAGCAATCCCAACAACCCAGACTATTAGTCTGAATGGTACACAAGTGTTCGTATTACTTCGTAAACAAACAAGACGAAGAAAAAAAAAAAAAAGATGAGTTTGAGTCCTGATGGAATCAGATGAACACAAAAAAGTTAGGGGCCAAAAAGTAAGAAACTAGTAAAAAGGAAATTAATAATTATGGCCACAGCATTGCAAAGAAAGGAACTTACTGTATATTACGGCACGCACATACCCAGGCCTGTGAGGGCACTTTGGGTGAGCAAGCGACTTGAAGAATACCACTGCAAAAAAGGATACAAGCACACCGTCAGCCAGCAAGCCAGCAGACTAACATAAAACAAGGAAAAGGCATCCAAAAATCCCTCCTAGCCCCCTGAGTCCCGAAGCCATAATTGGGAATCGTTAACCAAAAGCCTGGCCACACTACGTGCTATCCGTCGCCATTACCATGAAACTGATCTACATTTTGTGACACGACTTGAGCTATACTTTCCTCTCTCTCTCTCTCTCTCTCTCTCTCTCTCTCTCTCTCTCTCTCTCTCTCTCTCTCTCTCTCTCTC